TACTACTGTTCTAACATGAGTTTTATGCTTTTTTCTACTTTATATACTTCATTTTTTTGGCCGATGCAAAATGCTCCTTAAAGCATAGGAGTTTTGCATGTGTTTTAGAAATAGAGTTGCCCAGTTCTATAGTCCTTATTATGCCCAGTTTTGCATGCGTTTAGAAATAGAGTTGCCCAGTTGTACATCGATATTTTTTCTACATATAGTTGTCTCAATGAATACACTATGGTTGCTTCATGTTTACAGAAATGGTATTTTTGGGGGCTTGCTGGTTTTGTACCATCTGTCTGCTAAACAACACATCAGTTTCCCTTTTTTTATACTAGAGTTGCCATTTTTTGGGCATCTGTATTTTTTTGACCTACACAGTTCATTACACCCCCAGCTGCTACATGCATACAATGAGGTTTTCCTGGGGTTTTCTTGGCTCAAAACAGTAGAGTAGTTGTTCAACATCACAATTAGGCTGGCATAATCAACATCCTGACACACACTACTAGGCAGAGGCGGAGGACGAATTTTTTTTAAGGTGTGGTGAAGTTTTAAGGAAAAAAAAATTTGATGCAAATCAAAAGAGTCAATACACATTACAAACGGAAACCCCAATACAATAAAAATGTAGGCATATTTTAATAGGAAAATAATCTAAAACAAACCAATAATGAAGATTTCAATGGCGTCTAGAACTGCGCTGGTTGGACATCTTATTAGCTTTTATGCATAATCATCTAAAAACAAAAACTTGTGCGTCCACAGTACACTAGCATGAATGAAAAAATATAGACAAACTTTCCACCATATTGTACAAGGTCGCTACATAAATTTTTATCCATTATGTTCAGAATTACTGTAGTTACTTTAGATCCTGCAGAATTGACAGAAGAAAATTTGCTAATACCCAACAAAGTGGCTGCAATTAGTCCTCTGATTCGTACACCGGGGAATGACCAGGAAAATTCCCAACTGCCATCGTCTGCTGGAACTTGCTTCTACCGCCACTGAAGCCGCCGCTTGCTTCCTTCGCTGGAGCTTGTTGCGGCAGCCCTCTAAGCCCCCAGCCTGCCGCCGCCGTCAGCTGCCCCCGTCATCAGTCGCCCGCCTGGTCCTCGCGACATGGCCAGCAGCCGCCATCGCGCTAGCTGCTTAGGGTTGCGTCGCGTCTGGGTAGAGTTGGTCGCGTGCGTGCGTGTGCGTTGTGTGTGTGGCCGCTCGATCGAATCAAACCTTTTTTTAGACACTCTCAATCGAATCGAACCTGTCGTGCCTGCCTGCGTGGCCCAACAGCTGGATGCGTCGGCCCATCAGGCCAGCGCTACTGGCTGCGGTCGATCGAAACAGCCGATGCCGATCCAGAGTCTGCCGATCGATATATGCATAGGTATAAAAAAAATTGCCCCAGAATCAAGGTATGGCGGATGCCATACCCTGCCCACCGGAGCCCTCCGCCACTGCTACTAGGGAAAAGCTTATAGGTAGACGCTTACTAGTAGCGTGTGTTTATACCCCTCGCTACTGCTACTTACTAGTAGCGCGGGTTTATAACCCTGGCTACTACTAAGTTGATAGTAGTAGTGCGTGTTTATAATCCTCGCTACTACTAAGTGGTCTCTACCGTTCCCTCGGGACAATGTCATAGTAGTAGCGAGGGGTATAAACCCGCGCTACTACTAAGCTGTTAGTAGTAGCGCGGGCTCATACCCCTCGCTACTACTAAGTACAGGGTTTTTTAATAGCCCTGAAATCCCCATCTCCTCCCCCAAATCTCTCCTCTCTTCCGCCATTCTCTCCTCTCTATCTCTATACGCTCTCACATGGACCTCTTGCCCATTCACCCTCCTCCTCCATGGTGCCAAAAGAGGCCACCGTCTTGCGCCACCGGCGTCTAGGAGGCCGCTGCCTCACGCCACCACGTCGGACCACCTCACCACCGGTGACCAGCCCCACTGCTCCCTCCATCTCCTTCCTCTCTCCCTTGGTTTTCTTTTTCTCTCTCTCCCTCTGGTTTGACTCACCCTCCCATGTCCATGCCCGTGCAGGTCGACACCATGGACGACCAGGAGCTATCTGGCATGGTCAGGAAGAGGAGCCCCACGCCGCTGCCTTGCTCTTCCATAGAAACGGGCCCTCTCTAACAGCCATCGCCAGTTCTGGTCTGTCGCTGGGCGTTCATGCCTCCGGCGACCCCAACCGTCGCTGGATCGAACCACCGGTGTCATTGAAAACACGCACGAGATCGAGATTTTTTTGTTTTTGAAAGTAATAGTAGTAGTGCGGGGTATAAGACCCACTACAGATAATTAGTAGTAGCGCGGGTGGCACCCGCGCTACTACTACTAGTTAGCTGTAGCGTCGTAGTAGTAGTGCTGACACCCGCGCTACTACTAGCTATTTATCCCGCGCTACTACTAGGATTTTCCCTAGTAGTGACACATCATCTGCTAGACAACACCGAAGTTGCCCAATTTTGGTACTAGAGTTGTCCCTTTTTTATCTAGTGTTGCTTTTTTGCCTAACTACAGTTGTACATCAAGGTACGCAATGCATTATACATAGTTGCCACATGCATACAGTAGGGTTGCCTAAAAGCAGTCGACCAGGCGCTCTTGGGTTTTCACCAAAGCAAAAAAAATAGTTGATGTCTCAAAACTGGCACAACCAGGGTGGCTGAGCAAGCAATACATGATCGAAGAGCAAAAGAGGAGGCAGGGTTGGGGGAGCAGGTGCTTACCTATTTGGGGGGAGGTAGGCTCTCTTTTCGTTCTCCAGATCTGATTTCCAGGAAGAAAGCAGGAGGAAGGAGGGATCCCTGTATGTGTTTCTTCTCCCTCAAGACGTCATTGTTGTGGAAGGCAACCTGTCCTTGTTCTCCAGATCTTTTTCGAAGGAAGAAATGAGGAGCAGGGAGGAGGAAGGGGTCCCCTGCATGTTCTTGGTCTTCAAGTAAGAGAGGAGGGAGAGAGGAAGCGTGGGATCAGAGTGGGGGTGGGTGAGGGGACCAGGCGGGGGCTGGGAGAAACACGTGAAGCGCTAACGAGAGGTCCAGGGCGCTAGATCAGGTGCGTGCAGGGCGCGTTTCCTTTTCTCGGTTGTCCTGACGCGGCACGCGGTTGGGCTTTCCTTTCGGGGAGGGCGCTCGGGCGCCAGGTAGCCAGGCCCATACAAAGATATACAGGGTATATGAAAAAAGAGTTGACATGTGTCGAAGAAAAAGAAAAATAACAAATGAAAACTGAGAAAAGAACAAAGAAAAATGAAGAAAAAATAAAAAAACTGAAAAAGGAAAAAACAAAAAACAAAAATCAATTCAAAATAATGAAAGGAAGAACCCCCTCAAGAAAACCGACATAAACTGTAAAGAAGGCACATAGAAAAGGAAAGAAACCATGAAAATCAAAGAAACCCAATAAAAACCGTAAGAAACACAAAAAGAAAGAGAAAAAACTAGCTTGTCTGAAAATGAAAGAAAACCTATAAAAACAATAAAAACACAAAAAAGAAAGTCTTAAAATCGGATCTGTCCAGCTAGTGTACAGCAGCAGAAGAAAACCCAACCAACCGAGCAAGCAAAAATAGCAACGGATCAAGCGAAACACGGTAATGGGCCGCAGTAGGTGAGATATAGCTCTGTCGTGATTTACAATTCAAGATAAGATCGTTGAATGTAATTGGTCTTGTAAGGGAGTGGTAGTCTGCTCCAAATGGGGATGTAAGCTGAATAACGATTTTAGTTTCCCTTTTACTTTTGGTGGAGATGACAGTGGACGCTCTCCCACCATCTTCCCTGTGATGTAACTTGAACACTGGTTGGTTTCTGGTTTCTTCCAATGGAATGGAACCGGGGGTGTGAGCCCCTTTTCTTCGAAAAAAAAAAGATCATTGAATGAACTGTTGGGATGTTTAGGAGTGCACCAATTCTTTCTGCACTTGGACGAAGTATTGATGGCCTCCTCTCTGTTCTGATTTTATATGCTGTGTTTCCCCTTTTAAAAACTAGTAAATGCGTACGTGTAATTCACGGTGATATTGAAAGAAAAATTAATTGTACGCTGATTTTATGTTGACGTCAATTACGAGATAATTTTATGATTATCACGTGCATTGATATTCGATATGATATTAATTGCACGTTAAATATATTGAGCGCTCACCATAAAAGTAATTTAGGTCATTAAATTGTCATGATTTGATGGACACGATTAATTGATATAGATATAGATATGAACAAGACACGTGTAGACATTATCGGTATAGATGCAACCTCCCCCGCAAAAAAAAGATGTAGATGCAGCCTGAGGGTATACCACATGCACATGACACACGCTCTCGAGCCGTGTAATCAAAACAAACGCGTTCAAATCACAACACGTCACACCACACGTAAGCCGCACCTTACATAGGAGTAACAAAAAACATTTGTATTTATGTGTATATAAGCGAGAAAAACGTGGGCAAAAATGGAAGAACCCGAAACAAAAAAGACGCTGGCAGGCGATGGCGCCCAAAAACTCCCAAACACGCCACGCACTTTCCTTTCCCGCTTTTGCAGATGGATTCTTTCCCCCGCCGTGAAGCCATCTCATCGCCACGTCGCGGACACAAGATCACAAGACATCGGATGGAGAGTGGAAAAGGTCCAAAACCCCACAAGTAGAAGCAGCTCGAGAGAGATCGATCGTCTTCCACTCCGCCTTACTCACGCTTCGCACGCAGCGCAGGCCTCGACCATGTGGCGCGCGGCCGCCTCCCGCCTCCGCGCGCATTGCCCGCCCGGCGCGCTCCGCCGCCTCTACTCGCCGCCGCCGCACCCGCCGCGGGTGGACCCGCCGGTCACGGCGTCCGAGGCGAGGAGGCTGGTGCGGCTCGTCGGGGTCGAGGCGCTGAAGCGGCGGCTCCGGGACGGGCCCCGCGAGGCGATCGGCTACGGGGAGCTCCTCGACGCGTGCGTGGAGGCCGGGGCGGCGCGCACCCGCGACGACGCGGAGGGCCTCGCGCGGGCCATGGACGACGCCGGCGTCCTGCTGCTCTTCAGAGACAAGGCCTACCTCCACCCCGAGAAGGTCGCATCTTGTTTCTTCCTTTCTTTTCTTCCAAAAACCCTGCTGCTACTACCGCTGGTTTAAATTCTCTTCAGGCTCCATTTTGACATTTAAGGACACGAAATGGGCATTCTTCAGGCACCTTTTCGTTTCTGAGATAGGCCTTCCGGAACCCGGGTGTCTAGGCACCCACTTATCACCACCGTTTGTACCATGTCCTGTAGCACAAATTCGATTAGCAGGTCCAGCAGTTTGTTAAGCGCGGGAGGATCGACAAATTTGAAATGAATCCAGGCCTTGGTCGCCTCGCAAGTCACAACTAATTAAATCTTGATCGATCACACGTGTGTTAGATTTCATAGTAGCTATATGTAAGTCGCTTGAATTTAGAATTTGGGCCAGACGAATTTTGTGTGAAGGAAGAAACATATGGAGGGAAGGGAGAAGCTTGCCGGAAGGAAGGAAGAAGCTCGGCAGAGAACCCCTCTGGGTCTTATCTTAGGGTGATAGATGACCCCACTATCTATCTTAGGGTGACTGACGATCCCATTAGCTATGTTAGGGGTGCGGGGGTGGTGCAGGTTCGCTGAAAAAAATTGGTCCATAGCCGGGGCTAGAGGAATGGCCGGGGGTGGCGGTAGCACGACGATTTGCCGGCGGTTGAGGGGAGGGTGGGGCAACGAGGCTGGCGCGGGAGCGTTGCCGGCCGCGGGTGGTGGTGGTTGGCTGTTCAGCCGGTGGTCATACTGTTTCGAGGTTGGAGATGAAGCCCTAGACGTTGGATTTTGATCCAACGGTTGAGATAGAGAGTTAGAAATCGACTGACCCCTTTTAGATTTTCAGGCGCCCTTTAGATTTACCTTTAACATTCCTGCTAGTATCTCTGTTTAATTTTCCCATACCTGCAAATGATTTTCTAGTTGCAACCGGCCATAATTGTTAAATTAGGAAATGTATGGATTAGGGTTGGTGCATTCCTGTTGCAAATGTTGTTTTGTTGGTGGACGAAGATTTTCTCATGTACATATTCAAGATTATATTCAAAATTGATTTCCATTGATTGAAAGGCCCCCGTGCGATTCCTTTCGAATCCAAATAAATCAACCAAATCAATCACATTATCCCATTACAGTTTGAGCGCATCGACTATTGTTATATAATTGTATTGTGCTGTATTAGTGCATCCGCGTCTTAGACGCTAAAGGTGAGAGAAATTGACTAGCATCAATGCTAAGGGATATGAAAAATGGTAGACGCTAATTAAGGTCAAGCTTGGCACCCAATACTAGACGCTAGGGATTTGGAGGCTCTTAGGATTCCACAATCAACTTGGTGGGTTAGCCTTAGCCAACCCAGGTTCGACTCTCACGTCTGACACATTACTTGTGTACTGGAAGTCCTCCTCCACACCTTAATAAACAAACTAATGTTGAACACTGCAAATTACTTACAATTGGGTTTAACTGAGAGGGAACAAAAGTAAGAAAAATCAAGATGTAGTTGGAATTTGTCGTAATTCATCAAACTAAAATGTTGTAGAAATAAGAGCAAGAGGTGTTCCTTTCCAGGCCTCCTGAACAGCAAGGACCTTCAGTCTTCACGTTCCCTGGTCACTGGCCGGTCAGAACCAAGATCATACGATGCTCTAATCCGTAAAGCGGATTCTTGTAATCCTATTTAGATGACGTCCAGGTCACTTATTGAAACATCTAAGCATCGACATGACATGAACTTTATTACTTTATATTCTTTGAGCCGTGAGCTATAAGCCCACAAAATCCTTAAATGTATCCACAAGGACTACACCATCATTATAGATTGTTTTTGTTGCTTCCAACTGTGGAGAAGCAACCGTTTTGGGCCTTTTTTTAGCTGAAAAAGTATTAATGATCACTCTACACCATCATTATAGATTTTGATTTTAACTTTTAATGCACAAGGCGCACAGAAGTCCTGGTTTCTGATCACAGAAATCAGGGGAAATCTCTGCTTGCTTCAGAGGAGGAAAACAGAACAAGAATCACAAAAAATGCAGCCGGGTCAATCTTTTTCAAGCTGAAGCTTGCACTGACGGACCGTATCGCCATTCTGCAGGTGGTGGACCTGGTGAGAAGGGCGGTGCCGCTGGCCCTGGAGGTGGAGGACGACCCAAGGAGAGAGGAGCTGAGGCAGCTCCAGGAGAAGAAGGACGGCATCGACAAGCTGGCGCACAGGCAGGTCCGGCGCATCCTCTGGTCCGGGCTGGGGCTGATCATGTCCCAGATCGGCCTCTTCTTCCGCCTCACCTTCTGGGAGCTCTCCTGGGACGTGATGGAGCCCATCGCCTTCTTCACCACCGCGTCCGGGCTGCTCGTCAGCTACACCTACTTCCTCGTGACATCGAGGGACCCGACGTACCAGGACTTCATGGAGAGGCTCTTCCTGTCCAGGAGGAGGAAGCTCTGCGCCAAGCACAGGTTCGACATGGAGAGGTACCTGGAGCTGCACAGGCTTTGCAAGTGCCCTCTCGAAGGCCACTATCCTCATGGCCCCAAGCTTCACAACTTGTAACGCCAGGGCTAGAATTTCCCAGCTGGACTCTCTGGATTGTGCAATAGGCAAATATATAGCTTCCAAAGTGTTCGCTGCATCTTTGCAGAAGTCACCAGTTACCTGCTAGATTAATCTTGCAGACATACTAAAGGCTAATCTCAGTGATGGGCCACTGTCATTATGCCATTATGGTTCTCTATGTTTTAAAGTTGAAAGCTACTTTCTCCGTCCCTAAATATAAGTCCTTTTAGACATTCCAATACGGACTACATACAGAGCAAAATGGATGAACCTACACTCCAAAATACATCTATATACATCCGTATGTAGTACCAATTGAAATCTTTAGAAAGTCTTATATTTAGAAACGGAGGGAGTACTACTTATATGAGTTCCTATCTGTATCAGATTTATGTTAAATGACCAGGCTGCAACCTTTCTGAGGAACAACCATGTGACATCTTAAATTTCCTTTACAAAACAGAATGGGGGTTGCACAGCACACAAGAAAAAAGAAAACCTCAAAACGCCACAAAAACACGACAGTGCTGACAAACATACATTTATGATGTCATCAACAGAGATCAACAATCCCATCCCATAATAACAAGCGAATTGCTGCAGGCCGAGGCATTTGTTCTCTGTACACGCCGTGTAGCACTGAACATCGGCGTCCCTCAGTGTAGCTCTTGCACAATGGGCAAAAAGAATAGCACGAAAGAATTTGTACAAAAAATGATCAGCATAGAACTGCACTTTTGCGGTTCCAAGCTGCGCAAATGAAAAGACTCATCTGACTCTATAATAAACAGGTTTCATGCTGCTGTGCATCTGGCCTCCTAACTGTAGTGTTCTGGCAGGAAAGCATTTTAGCTTATTTTCCTTCTTGGAATCAACGCGGTGCCACCATGGTCACCGGAGGTGCACTTGATACATCATAAATACTGCATCCCATTTCTCCGAAAAAATATCCCTTTGTGGAAGCAAGTTCATGCTGTTTGCTGCTTCAAACTCCCACAAATGCAGACTGTGCAACGTGTGCTACGTCTCATGTCACTGCCATTAATGTATATTGCATTCTGCCATGAACCTCTCCCCATTAGTCATATACTTTCTCCAGTAGCTCTTGTAATCATGTATTGCCAAATCAAGCCAAGGTTTCATGACACCATTGTAGTGCAGAGCAGCCGCCTTTTCTATATCGACACGGCTAATTCCATAATCGTATCCAAGACCGGACTGAACCCATGAACCTTTCAAAGGATATATCAGGTCTTGAAAGGCAAGTAAACCTGTAGGGAGTGCTTCAAGTCTATGTGATACCGAACTATCCTGTTGGAACAACAAAAGTGAAGGTAATAATAAATACATCAGACAAGGTATGTTCTCTACAAATAATTATGACAAAGGATATCACAGGAAAAGGATAGTCCTAGCCATCTAGGATTACCAGAAGAAACTACACGTTTTCCCATATGTCAACAAATTAATAGTATACAGTTTTCTTTCGATAGGATTGTAAGAGGAATGGCAAGTTTACTGACCTTCTGAAGTGATTGATCATGCAAGCTGGTAATGCCAAGATCTCTCCATTTCTCCAATTCAATTACATTCAGACCAGAGAACCACACGCATGAATCCGCGTCGAAATTGTTTTCCTCTACATAAGCTTTCAACTGACCTAATCTAACTCCACAGAACTGTACAGCACCTATTACTTTGTCTCCCATATTGAGGTTCCAAAGAGATGACAAGTCTTTCTGGACAATCATATCATCATCTAGAACAACTACTCTATTCAAGCTAGGAAGAAGATCAGGCAAGAGGAAATGTGAATGGCCAAAAACAGATATGTACTCAGTTTTCATCTGCCTCCGGAGAGGCTGAGAATGATTACGAAACGTGACACGAAATTCCTCTGTAGGCCATAATTGTTGCCTCTCAAGAGATTCAACATCCTTAGAGAGCTTGTTGTGATCCTCAATGTTAGTCACGTGGACATTAGCGTCCAAATATGAGTTCCTGTCAAACCAATGCTTCATTGCATAAAAATTCTGGGTGTCGGTGAATACATGGAAAACAACGCTGCCAGAATCCTGAAACATGTCGTAGGAAATACGTTAGCACTGAGACAAACTCCGCATAAGATTTTCAGCTATTTGGAAAGGACAGTATACCTTGGAGTTCATGGCTGTTGAATTGATAGTAGTCGAAGCTGCAAGTACATTCCTGGAGAACATTACATAGTGATAGAAGGCAGGGTCTTCAAATTTCTGCTTATTTAATAGCTCCCTTTGAGGAGATACAGATTTGAAATACTCTACTGTCAATCTCATGCTCAAACAATGGTGAGTTTTTGGCATAGTCTGGACCCCGAGATGATAGAGAAATGCACTCTGCCTTGTATGGAAATAAGCTTCATCTTCAGTTAGATCGAGTAGCTGCCTAAGTTTCCGTTCAACATTGGAGCAGCCTACTTCACAAGACTTGATTTTCTCAATTGTGCCTTCCATTTTCTCTAGCTTCTTTGTGAAACTGAAAACAGTAAGCAGCCATTAGCTGACAAATAATCAACAGAAAAAGTAAAGAAAAGTAAGGTCGTACATGCCATCATTTTCTATGTTGTATACTCCATTGCTTGATACAAGGAACTTTTTACATCACACAGTAATGAAGACATGATAGTTGCTACCTCTCAAATACATATTCTATGTGATGCATGTACAAGAAAACATATATCATTACAGGGAGAAAACACTATATCCACATTTAGAGATGCATTCAGTAAAATTAACATCTTAATACCTCCATACAGATTCCACATGGCCATATACATGAGGGTTGGACATAGGTCATATTTCTTCGGGGTACCAGTCTGACTAGCAATAGGGTCAGCAAATATGTAGTATTTCCTCCGTCCCAAAATAAGTGTCTCAACCTTAGTACAACTTTGTACTAAAGTTAGTACAAAGTTGAGACACTTATGTTGGGATGGATGGAGTACAACATATAAAAAACGGGAAGCAGCCCTGAAATCGCTAATGCTCATTTTAGCCATTATGGAGTGTAATATATATTATAATCAGTTTAACAAATAATACTTTGGCATCTTGTTATGTAGAGGCCGGGTGTGAACTCTTTGTGGTTGTATCGCCTTGATGCGACCATTGAGTCAATTAAAATCCCTCTATTGAAAAAAGATAATATTTTAACACCAGGATAATACTCACAATGGTGGAAGATCAGCATCTGCAATGGTGTCACTGAGCATGCGTTCGTGTTCTTGGATATGTTGCTTCAACTCACGTGTAAATCTTTCCTGGTGCTTCAGTTTTGCAATACTAGGATAATAGGCTCTGGCCATAAACAGTTGATCTTTAAGCCTCTTCACAATAGCATCTTTCATCTCTTCCTTATGCTCAACAGACCAGAGGCAATAGCTTCCATATTCAAGTTCACAGGACTTGGGATTCTCCTCTTGTGCTACTTCCTGGCCTTGGCTCTCCTTCCCATCAACAGCAGTATCCTGTCAAAAAACAAATTCAGTGTTTTATGGTAGAAAACTAGAACAGTTCCAAATGGCTCACTAGTACAATCATACTGGACATTCAAGCAAAGATGAAAACATGTTGTGCCCCAATCTATTTAGAATTCATATCTCAGCCTTTTATGGTACCAGATCATTGCGTTGTTCGCCAGATTTGCTGCTTGATAACAATGGTTATTGCATTTGTCAAGAAATCTAAAGCATAATAATCAACCAGGGATCTGATGTACTCTCCACAGTAAATATGAAGTTCTTCAGTAATTTTTTTTATCATGGGACAAAATGTTAGTAAAATTTCTTTTTAACTAAACATCTTAGTAAAGGTGAAAAATGGAAATCATCCACCAAATTCCAGAGGGAGAACAGTTGTGCAGCAATGCAGACTACGGCAAAGGCGTTTATTTATTGCCACCTAACTGAAACACTCACGGTAGCAAAATATTTAATAGGCAGTTTTGAAGGTGCAAAACTTGCCCCCAATAAGACAGTCTGTAACTGTACCTATATATCTAGATTTAGAGCATGTTTAGCCCACAAAAACATGTACAAAATTATTGTTGGCGCCACACTGAGATGCAACAATGTTCTTACACATAGATTTAACATTTACCTTTGAAGAACTGAAAATCTTGTTGACTGTAAAACCCAATTGGTTAAGGCCTCAGAACAATAGCCGTACAAACACCATGATACTAACAGAATTCAGTAGTCACAGCCCATGTGTGGCATGATCTCTTCCTAATATTATTGGAAAGTGAAACGCAGACGACCTAAACAATTTGCCAACACAAGAGAAAATAAAAACTATCTCTTACCGTTGATCTCCATGACAAGTCCTTTAGTTGATATCTTTGTGTATGAGATCCTGAAACACCATTGCACACAGTAAGAAGGACATGGAGCCCGTGTACTAATCCAAGTCAACGTGATGGCATGCATTACCTCCGTCCCAAAATATAAGAACGTTTTTGACAGTAGCATAGTGTCAAAAACGTTCTTATATTTTGGGACGGAGGGAGTATTTATTTGATCCCGCATTTCTTACCTCTCTTTTTGGATGTGTCATTGTTTAGCTCAACAAAGGAGAAAGCATCCTTGATTTTTGATCTGGCAGCAAGATTCCTGGACTTTGATCTACTAGATTTCTCGCTGGAAATCCCGTTCGACCCCGAGGTTATCATTTTGGAAACATCCTGTTTATACAAGAGAAGAGGAGACTACTCATCAAATAGACAAATGAAGAGCTTTTTGAACTAAAACCGTAATGATTACTACAGCCAAGCCAACAAAAGCCAATTTGGCAGAAGTGATACCAAATAGATGAATCATTTGACTAGCTGTGAGAATTAGTACTGCAAACACAATTTGATTTACTCTATTTATTTTGGCATCACTTGTGATTTGCACAACACTGCGAGTGGGAAGTTTGCACCGCTGAACGCCACATGTCGTGTAATCCCATAACATCATCAGAGACAAATGGTGTGATGCCACGCACCAGACCAGACCGGACCAGAATAGCAACCGTCCCCTCTCCTCACGAAGCAGGTAGGTGGCGAAGCCGTCAGCAAGCAGCCGACGTCCACGAAAACACGCACGCAAGCACACGCGCATTGCATGATTGAACTCCCTAATTACTACTATACAATGTAATTTTTCTTTTTTTTTTGTAGAAACCAGCAGGAAGAATCACCACAGAATTGGGAATGGTACTCAGAAAATCTGAATGCACAAAAATGTGATGCAAAGTTGCCATCTTTTCTGTCGGCAATCCAGTAGGGACGCGTAATTTAGGACAGTGCACCTTGAGCAGCTTGTGCCTCATGGCCCCATCAAGATGCTTGTGCTTCCCCAGCCCCAGTTCCTAAAGGCAACACAAACACAGCAGAGCAAAACCCGTCAGAAAATTCGCAAACTCCGGCAGCGAAAGAAAAAATGCAGCAACCGGAGGAGGAGGATGAATCCGAGTGCGGGAAATCTCACGGTGCTGATGACGACGGCCGCGCGCTCCTCCGATCCGTACCCTGCACACGCGCGCACAGAACAGAATCAGCACAGATCCGCGGAGGCAACTCAGGCTACGGAGGCAGACAGAGACAGGTAGAGGTTGTTTACTGACCGGTGCTGTGGAGGCCGAGGAGGAAGGCGAGCGGCAGGAGGACGGAGCAGAGCACCAGCGCCGGGACGGCGGCCGCCATGCCGGTGCAGCGGCGCTTGGCCGCCGTCGCCGCCGGCGGCGAAAGCGGCGCCAGGTGGTGGTGGTGGTGGCCCTTCATCCCTCGGCCCGGCTCGTCGTCGTCGGGTTGCCGCTGCGTGTGCGTGTGCGTGTGCTGGTGATTAGTTTTATATACACTTAGTCCCGCATTAAGCTAGGCGTGGTCGTGGAGGAGGCGGGGGAGGGGGAGGGGGAGGCGGAGGCGGTTTTCTTGGAGAGCGCTACGCGTAACTGATTGGCCGGCGCCCCGCGGTAGTGGCCAGACAACGCAAGACTTGAGACTTGAGAGTGGAGACTGTGGACTGTGGAGTGAGCAGCCGACCGCCTCCCTCTTCTTCTCTCTCGAGTTCCTTTCTCCCGCTATTCATCTTCTTTTTTGCTTTACCTTTGGACGCCACGCCCCTATCTTCTCTGCCTGCCCCCAGTCCCCGTGGGCCACTCGCTGTCAGGTAAATTTGGATTTTTATTAGAGAGAAAACTATGAGAAAGTGTGTGAACATGGATGGGGTTGGGTTGTTTCTTTTGACGGCACCATAATCATCAGATCAGTCAAAGCGCAGACACACTTCACCGGTTTTTTTTTAAAAAAAAGAAGCACAGCTAGGGCTTTAGTTACATGACCGACATTTTTGTAGTAGCAACATTTTTGTAGTACGTTCGACGCAGTAAATTAGGGCTTTAGTTACGTGACCGACTTTTATCTTCTTCTTTTGCGGTAGTAGGAAGAAAATCATCATTGTGGTCGCCAGTACTGTGGTACTCCTACTAGGTTGTGAATTGCCCATCCTCGAAAAGCAGGCTAACAAAATGGTTTCCCTGATTGATATTGCAAACAAAACAAAATGCCCCCCACGCATGCCACCTACTCCTACTCTTGTTCATGCTAGGGGCGACCACCCCAGGGGACCAAAATCAGAGGACGATCGATGGGGGCGGGCGTTGGCTGGTGCGTGCTGTCCGGTTCAGCTGGAGGCAGATGCCATGCTCACAGGCAGCCAAGCTTCAGCGTCAAGCTAGCTGAGGGAGTCGAATCCGCATTTGCAATTGAGTTTCCTGTAAAGAGCCGGCGCGTCCAAAGCAGGTCGCGATCCCCGTCGCTTTCTCCGCGGATCTCCTCCCGTTTTTCGCTCCCCCTCCCTCCCTGCGTCCGCATGTGACCGTCCCATTTTCATCCATCTCTAGCTAAGCTAACCTACGGTTAGCGAGGCGTGAAGGTCAGCAGGGTTAATAAGAGAGTGTGTCGTGTGGCAGCTAGCTTTGCCTGGATCCGTAGGGAGGTTAGATGGATTTGAATTGAATTCCACCATCAAATCACCATCCCGTGGACCGCGCCCGGGTGAGTGAGTACGTGAGCCCCCACGGCCCACGCCCACGTCGTGTGCTGTGCCTGTGATGCAGTCTGCACAGATGAGATCGGCAGCGCTGTCGTCCTATGTACTGCCTCACTAGGTTGCTATGCACCGGCGTGCGCTCAATTTACTTCCTACTAGTACTGCTGCTACTCTATCTACGCCGCTCCATTTTATCACCGCGTCCGCGTCCGCGTCTGTCCTCGCCGTCACTTTTCTCCATCTGCTTTTCTTTACTCGTCCATCACTGCATTCGTCCTCCCATCCTCCACGGATCGCTTCACTAATAACTACGCCCAGCTGCTCTTCTTTCCTTCTTCGCTTTTCCTTTCCGTTTTGATCAACGGTTACAGCTGCCTGATCGTCTCGCCGTTGTCTTCCTTCTCCTCTCCAGGCAAGCAAAGGCGACAGCAGCCAAACCTTGACTCCGCCTGAATTTTTTTTTGAAACGAGGCCGACTCCGCCTGAAATGCTACTGCACCTGCTGCACGCACGCATGTCTGAATTTAGACAATTCCGCTGCCGCGAGCTAAACATAAGATCGGGTCACATATTCAGATCAGACCAGTTCAGAATGCAACAGTACTAAATATGAATGCAGAGCTGCAACCATGCAGATCTTCTCTTCTCCAGTGGAATAGTATTATTAAATTGCTGATTGCTGACAGTGACATTCGACAATGGCTCACTGTATACTACGTACTCTGCTAGTCTCTGTTATTATAACCTGCCAAGCCCAACATCCTGCCAAAATTTACGCTTCACGCACGTGCACACGACGCATGATGGCTTGTATTTCTATAAATCTTCCATTGCTCCTGCTGCCAGTGAGTTCAGTCCATCGCTCAGCGCGTATAGATGGACATCTGAATTTGTATACATGCATAGTACACTATTGATCACTGTCTATGAGGTCCTAATTTGTAGCGATGCAGAATCTAACCTGGGAATGTTGGCCACCCTAGGATGGATCGCACAGCACCAAAATATTCCTCCCAAAACCAAAAGAGACCGCACCAAGTTAAAGCTGCCCAAGAGCATGTGGCGGTGGGGGCAATTTGGACCAGCTGCTGCATTCTCACATAGTATGCCGCGTTGCCTCTTTTTCTCTCCTCTTCTCCTGGATCGTCCTCGGCTATTTATCTGCCTCCATGTGGAAACATATGTAGCAATGGGGTTTTGTGGGGTAGGAGCAAGTAGCAATAACTGACTAATCGCCTTACTGTTTTAGTATTCTTTTTTCTAAAGGGTTTTAGTATTCTATTTTATAAAAAGGAGATGCGATGCGCTCTGGCTTTCTGGGGGGAAACTCACAGGGATGTCACGTTCGTGTGGAATGGTCATACAAGTTAAGCTTTAGCTTTTCCACTGCGCTAAAGTGTCAACACGAAACTCACACGGTGAGAATTCCAGCACTGGCACTATTTCTCCTTTCCAAACAGAGGCAAAAATCTTTGCCACGACTCATGGATTTGCATATCTATTAAGATACTAAGCTTTCTAGATTTGAAGCCTTCTGGTGCGTAGGTGATTGGGGGGTCGTTGGGTCCGTTGGTTGGGGTTCCTATCTGTCATTTACTTTTTTTTTTATTATTCTTATTCAGCATTTTAATCCATGACATTTATTAAAACTCATGAATATATTTTTTTAAATAGAATTTTAGAAAAATCTTGATCATTTTTCTAAATTCATGAATATTTTAAAAATATGTGAATGTTTCTTAAGTTTTTATATTTGTGGATTTATTTCAAATCTATGAATCCCTTTTGAAATACATGAATCTTTTTAATATTAACAAATGTTTTTAAAAACTTTTTTTTGAAGTGCAACATTTGTAAAAATCCAAGATTTCTTTAAGTCCATGAAAATGCTTTAGTTTAATAAAAATATTAAGTAAAATAATAGCCTGCTTTTTATAAGATAGTCGTGAAGCAAACGGGAAAAAAATGCTAAGCGAGCAGGTGAAGCAAGGAGCTGAGTTGAGCGAGGAATAGGAACTTCTAAGGGACTCACATAACAACCATCGACCGACACCGAGGCCAAAATGTGCAAGGACACAACAACCGCGCACTAAACAACTCCACTCTGCTTTCAGAACAAATAACGTCTCTAGCATCACCCGGCACGATATACAAACAAAGAAAAATACTACCAGAACATAATTAAAAAGGCAGCACAATAACATACTAGAGAAAAAAAGGCAATCCCACAAGTAAAAATGACACGGCGAAGTGCGCGTTTGCCTCTAGTAATTTGGATGACCAACGAAAGCCACGTGCAAGTATTAGTCTATTCTAGTGGCATCGAAGAACTCACAGGCCTCGCATATGCTGCTTGCTTCCGCAGGAGTGGTTGGGATTCCCCAAGTGTAAGGGTGATGTAGCCTATCAGCAAGTATTTCCCTCTATTAGAGAACCAAGATTATCAATCCAGTAGGAGCTGCGATGTGATTTGGCTTTCTGAGGGGGGGGGGGACTCGCACGGATGTCACATTCGCGTGGAATGATCATATGAGTTAAACTTTAGCTTTTTCCACTGCGCTAAAGTGTTAACAAGAAACTCACACTCTAAGGATACCAGTGTTGGCACTATTTTCCCTTTCAGAATGGAGGCAATATCTTTGCCTCCATTTATTGATATGCATTATTTCGATACTAAGCTCTATAGATTTGGAGCCTTGTAGTTTTTGTAGACAAATTTGCAGCCTTCTAGCGCGTCGGGGTTGGGGGGGAAGGGGGGCGTTGGGCCTGCTTGTGAGGGTGTGTGTTGTTGGTTGGGTTCCTATTTGTTATTGATTTCCTTTTTCTTCTCTTTTTTAGTTTCAAGCATTCCTTTTTAACATTTTAATTCATACACATTTATTAGAATTTATTAATATTTTAAAAATTATGAACTTTTAAAAAACCTACTTATTTTTTTAAAATTCATGAACATTTTTTTAAATCCGTGTATATTTTCTATGTTTTCAAATTTGTGAATTTTATTTCAAATTTATGAATCTTTTTGAAATACATCATTATTTTTAAAATTCATGAACATTTTTTTAAAATATTTTAAGATTCTATCATTTTTAAAAATCTAAGATTTCCTAAAATCCATGAACATCTTTTGATTTAATGAACCCTTTCAAAATAAAAACACCCCGCTTTTTATAAGATAGCATGAAGCGAGCGAAGAAAATGCTAAGCAAGCAGGTGGAGCAAGGAGCCGAGGTGAGCAATCGGGAGTTTGGAGGGTTGGCTCACATGAATGTTATAGTATCATAGGAACTCCCAAGAGACTCACACAATGACCATCGACCGACACCGAGGCTAAAATATGTAAGGACACAACAACCATGCACTGAACAAGCTCACTGTTCTCAAAACAAATACCGTCTTTAGCATCACCCCAACACGATATACGAACGAAGAAAAATGCCATCAGAACATAACTAAAAGGTAACACAAAAACATACTACAGAAAAAGGCAATCCCACGGGTAAAGAATGATGCGACAAAGGGCGTGTTAGCCTCTAGTAATTTGGATGACCAATGAAAGCGGTGCAAGTATTAGCCTACTCCAGTGGCATCAAAGAACTCAAGTGCCTCGCACATGCCTTCTTCCAAAGGATGACATCATATTTGATTCAATGGTGTATTTATAATTTTTGTCATGTCCATGCCACTATCATTTGTACATAGTTTTGCCATCATTTTCTATGATTTTTATTGGACAAACCTACTAATATAGTTAGCTTGCATGTTGGGAACGACCTAGTTGCATCAATTCTGGCAGACACCAAGAAATGTCCTAGCCGACAACTCCAGTTAACGCTGATTGAACACTGTTCCCCGTGACGCCTGCTATGATTTTGAGAGCTGTTCGCTTTGATTTCATAGAAACGTAAGGAGCAACAAACAGTGATACATAAGAAGAGCCAACGTGCAAACACCATAATATTTCAAGTTCTATTGCTCAAACAAACCAAATGTACATCAACAACAATGAATAGTTATTATACAAATGAAAACCTTGCCCTCAAACAACGTATGATGTAGTCCTACCCGGTCTTGGTGGATATTCAAGGCGTTGTCCTACCCGGTCTGTCGACGTCTCTTCGACCCCTTGGCTGGTCGGGGCTATCGCGTATACGCGACACATGCAAGCGTCGTGTAGCCGGTCGGTATTCTTCGCCGAATTGATGTGTGTTACCTGGGGACATTACTCATCGCACTTGTCATTCTTCTCCGCCTCCCACACCAAGAGCGACCGACAAGCTGGACCCAGAAAGCAACAAACCTCCATCAAGCCGGCAACAACGCAAAAAAGGTGCCTGACATGCACCGATCAACGGTCGGTAGCAACCAAAAAAGCTGCGACAATGGACGCTCCGACCAACGCACATGCCAGACCTATAGAGCAATGACCCGATGTGGAGGGGAAACAAAGGGAGTAAATGAAGGAGAAAAATAAAACCCAAGGAAAGAAGACAAAATCACCCGATCAAAGGCAGCCTGGCTGACAAAAAAGCCAAGGAAATGCCCTTGATGGCGCAGGTACAAAAAAGTGCAAGCTTGCATTGCAATGTAGCTTCCTCATGAGCATGGAAGCCAACTCGAAAGGCCGCGAAAAAAACAACGTGCCAGTGTAGTGATGCTCACACAGGCACCTCAATCTCCTCCAAAGCAAGTAACACAAAATAGGTGGCAAGTTGCAATAGTAAATCGCACACGAACACAACACACAAATGGATGGACAGAAAGAAAGAAATGTGACTAGCCATGAAAAGGCCATCAAAATCGTGGTAAACATAGCAAGCTATGAACCTTCACGCCGCAAAGCAGACAGTCGGCAAGCGCGAGGAGGACCTGCATAACAAAGAAGCCACACGTCAAGCATCCCAGGAAACACACAATGTGTAAACACAAGTGAGTTGAAATCCATGTCATTCCTCAACTCAAACACAAGGGAGGTAAAAAATGGAACACAATGGCATCCCCGACGAATAAACAAGGGAAGGCATGAATGACAAAAACAAGAGATCAAGCACACAAAAAGGTAAGGAGACCCGAAACTCGGCTAGCAATGGACACAAGTGATGGTGTCCCGGCTAGAGGGCCTCTCACCATGTCGACTCCTAGCCAAGTGGGTCGGGCCAAGGAGTTGGTGCAGGGAGGAGTCAGTCTACTTATCACGGATGTGATGCCCATATACATGATCATTCCCATGAATAACGTCATAATTATGTGCTTTCCTATCAATTGTCCAACAATAATTTGTCTACCCACAGTATGCTATTGTTTCAAGAGAGAAGCCTCTAGTGAAAACTATGCCCCAGGTCTACTTTAATCATATTACTAAAACAAAAAAAATACCTTGTTGCAATTTATTTACTCTTCTTTTTATCTATTTACCGCTACGAGATTTAATCCTTGAAGGTAACAACCTCAAGGAGATTGACCACCCTCTTGCCCACTGAGGGAGTTATGGACTAAGGGGTCCTCGGGGCGGCGGCCCATTGAGTATGGGCCGGACTGGTGGAGCCGTATAGTGACAGGAGATCTATGAAGCCATGGTGTGCCCTCCAAGTCAAAAAGGTGCATGATCTCTTTAATCTCTTATTGTAATCTATCTTCGGTAACCCTAACCCTACCAGTGTCTATATAAACCGAGGGTTGTAGTCTTTAGGGCTAGAGCTGCATTCATCACCTCACCTTTTTAAGGTTTAGCTCATGATGATCTCGAGGTAGATCTACTCTATGAACCATACCATATATCCAATATAATCAAGCAGGACGTAGGGTATTACCTCTTCAAGAGGGCCCGAACCTGGGTAAACACTATGTTCGTCACCCCTTGTTCCCCATTGATCCTAGATCCACAGCTCGAGACCCCCTTCCCGAGGTCTGCCAGTTTTGACACCGACATTGGTGCTTTCAATGAGAGTCCCGTTGAGGGAGTCCTGGATTAGGGGGTGTTCGGGTAGCCGGACTATACCTTCAGCCGGACTCCAGGACTATGAAGATACAAGATTGAAGACTTCGTCCGGTGTCCGGATGGGACTTTCCTTGGCGTGGAAGGCAAGCTTGGCGA